CCAGGAGTCACAAAAAACTAGTCCCTTATAAGTGAAATTGATCATAGGCACCCCTATCCTCCAAGTTCGGCCCCCGTTTGTGACTCCTGGTATACCTAGTATTATAGTTAATTAGTATTGTCATGTACCGGACCCTCCAACAGGTCACCGCCTGCGACTTTGAGTCTGCAAAAAGCCTCCAGAGGAGACCTGTTGTCTACGGATATCTACGGTATGTCCATTTCCATTAGATTCAAAGGGGTTCCGACAAAGGATGCGGATTCTTTGAGGGACTTTGGGGGGGATCTGACCATATCAATCACAAATAAATCCAAGCTTCATCAGGTTTGAAACTACCCCTTGGAGTAGCCACACGAATGCTTCCATTCCAAGACCTGTAAGAGGTTTGTTGCGCAGAATTCATTTTCAGGTGAAGCCTGTGTGCAATTCGATGAAGCCTTGGTTCTTGGCGACCTCGCTTCTTCAGGATCCAATTCGCAAGCTGCTGCTTCTCTTCGCCGATCGACCCAGCTTGGCTTTGGCACTTACAGACCTGGTGGGAGAGGAACCTGTGACGTTCTTGGAGTGCCTTGGCCACTGGCTTCGTCTTCTTCTTCTTCTTCTTCTTCTTAGTAGTTTTAGTCAAGATACCAATGTCCAATGCCTCTTGCTCAGACACATCTGTTTATGATGCTCAAGCAACTCCTTGCGGGTCGTAGACTTCCAGTCGATGTGCAGTTCACCAAGTTGGGGGGGCAAGGCCCACTCAATCAAGGTCTTTCAACTCCAGCTTAATGCTGGAGTTGACGGCCTGGGCGAACATGTGCCCCTCCTCAGCAAGATCAGGATAACACTCATGATTTCTGCGGCATTCCTCAGCCTTCACTTCTCCGTACGGCAGCGACAAAAGCGAGTGAGTATGTCCTCAAGAAGTGACGTGACGGTGGGCGACCTTGATGTTTCTGCGACCTTCATGTTGATGTTTGCCGCCAACGCAAGTGTCTTAGGTATAGACAATGTTGGAACGGCTGCACTCTTGCAGTGGGCGTGACGACCGTGACGAGAGCTTGGGCTTCGCTTTGAGGTTGCACTGACGCCCTGAATACCCCCTGAACGCCTTGGCTATGACGCTTTGGCAAACATCGTTGTCATCCAGTGGCCCATCGCCTCGTCGCGATCCTTGAATGCACCAACAGCAAACACCCTGATGGAACATGCCCCGTTGTGGTCAAGGGCCAGTTGAGCAAGACCGACCTGTCTGTCTTCATACCTGAACGTTCTTCAGAACATCTGTAACATACCGTCGCGGGTCGTTGCTGTCACTTCGTTCCAGGATGTACTTGGTACTTGATAAAGAACTCGATCCACGAGCCCGTCGCGCTCGATCACTTGCCACCGGTGTTTGCTGTCGTCCAACAGCCTTTTTCATTGCTCCGAGCGGGACAGCCTTCGTAGGGGTCAAACGGGCCCCGAACCCAACCCTAAATATACAATTTGCTTGAGGGAGCGGGAGGTTCTTTTATCAGGGTCTCGAACCCCCTCCCAACAACCCGAGGAACGGCGCCGGTCCAGGTCCCACCGGATCCTCCCGGCAGGGTCCTCCCGGCCTGGAATACTGCCAGCCTTCTCCACGGTCCCCGAGGTGGCCCACCGCACGGCGGCCTGGCTCGTGGTGACCGGCGGGACACGCGTACGCCGGACCCGCGACCGGTGCCTGGGATGGTGGGCACGGTGCAAAAGTCCTAACATTTAACAAGTCCTTAACAGTCCTTGGCTCCACCCATCACCTGCGCAAATCCCACTTCTGTGTGTATTTCTCACATGGGAGACCCCGAGACCCAATGAGACTGGTCTATTCCTCTTCTTTCCTTGGGCGCGTGTGGCCTGGGAGGTCTCCCTATTCACAGCCGCATTGCCCCAGTTCTGACAGCATCAGGTCGGCAAGTGAGAACAAAACATCAGGTCTGTGGTCACTTGGTGAGTTGGTCATGGGGTGATCTCCCCATGGTATTGAGAGACTGGTCGGCTTGTGTGGACCGTTTGGGTAGTACAGAAACATTCGAAAGACACACAGGGAGGGGCCACGAATTTCCCCTAGTTACTAGCCTACGAGCCTACAGGAACAGACATCATATATGACATACTGGAGTTGATCATACCAAAACACAACGAAACATGAAACCGGTTTTTGTGCAGGAACAGGCCTCATATCTGACTGGAGTTGAGCCACGACAAGACCAGCCATTCGGTTTGGTTCGCTTGAGACAAGACCAGGAGACTGGACTGGTCGCATCTGTGGGGTGGCATCCAGGCTGGTTGGAGTGGAGTAGATGGGCAGTTGGCATCCAAACTGAGCTGTTCCAAACGGATCGAAGGTAAAATCCACCAAAAACCCAGGGAACATCTACAGGAAACGTGGATGACCACCGTTGACTTTGGCCAATGGTTCTTCATACACCCTCAACTTAGCCTTAGTATCACCATGCTCACCATGGCAATTCTTTTAAAGCGTCGCCTTTCACAGGTATGCGCGGCCGTGAAGCTCGCAAGCGCGGGCAGCCCTGGAACTCTGAAGAACTCTTGAGAGGCTGGAAGAAGGTCTCTTGCAAAAGGTATCCTCTCCCGGATAGGTTCTGGTGGCCCACCATGGTTTTAATAGTTTTTGCATGTTTTTGCCCAAGAGCCAGCTGTTTTGCAAGGAATATTACACAACAAGACCCGGTCCCCCAAGCTCTTTCAATGGTCGAACAGATGACAACAGGGCTTTACCACCTGGAGAAGGGCAAACAACATCATCTGCCACACCCCCTTTACCAAAAGGATCTGACAACGAGTTAGCAGCTAGCATATCCAATTCCAATTTCAACTCGCGTTTTCTTTACAATGCAAAATTTGCCATTAACGATGTTCACGGAATCCAATGGGTTTTGCGCAACACGGATTCCAACTGTTTTTGAACTACTGGTACCCTCCAAAGTACCCTAGAAAATGGGACATACCCCGATAAAAGGGGCAACATTGGATACCAACTCCTTAGAGGTGTCATGAGGTGTCCATTGGGAAGCATCGGCTGTGATTTGATTGTGGCTGCATCGGCTGCAGGTCAATACAAGGTGAACCCTGCTTTCAGGTGTGCAGAAGTATCTTTCCGGTACTTTGACGGACCGGAAGAAATCCGCTGGCCCTAACCGTTGACCAGTCTTTGTAGTCTAAAATCCGTGGTAAAACAATGGTCCTTTGGAATTCAAACCATTTAAAACGTATTACAACAATGGTGGTTGGAACCCCAGGCTTGCGGTGTGTGTCTTTGCGGAGCACTGGTCCGATGCCGAGCCATTGGGAGCCCAGGACAAGAATCCTTTTGAACGGGTCTGACAAGGTGACCCTTTTGTCTAGAGATTCTCTGAACCGGTGGGGAAGGAGTCCAAGACTGTTGGAGAAAATGATCTGACTCAATGACCCTTTTGTCCAAAACTCGCTGGCTGCTCATCTCCTTCTCTGCTCCGGGCTGGGTGCAGCAAGCTCCAATGGCCATTATAGGCCAAAGTCACACCCACTTCTCCCGAAATGATGGCATACTGGACTTCTAACTTCTCATGTCTAGGTGTATAGAAAGTGAAGAACATTTCGGTCCAGCACATGATTCGGTGACTTCGGTCCAGTGCGGCAGGTGCCCACAAAGCTTCAGGTTCCAGGGCCGGCCGCCCATATTAACATCCTGCCCACACGCATCGCGTGGACGCTGCCGCCCTGTTCGCGGAAAACGCGGTGTAAGTCGGGCGAGAGAGAGAGAACGGCTGAGCAGCGCTGCCCACCGCTGTCGCATCACCAAGTGCAAGTGGGATACATCAAAGTCGCTGCCGGTCGAGGGATCTGAAGGCTACACGGACTGCGGTCGTTCCCTCCGCCACTAGATGTCTGAAACCTTTAAGGAACATGAGTCTGTATCTGTGGAATGTTCCACATGTTCCATCTTCTGTCTGACTTTAGATGTACCTTGCTGAAATGACAGGGAAGACAGGTGAAGCTGCAGGTCGACCGCCTAAGGGACTGCAGGTCTTGCCCACCCTTCTTCCACCACCTGGACGACGATCTGACCCGTGTGCTGAAGATCTGACCGCTTTGACGGTGGAACACGGTGGAAAAACAAAGAGAAACCTCGGTTCAAAAGGCGCTCAAAGCCCAGGCCCAAAGAGAGTGTTGATATATTGCGGAACTTGTTGTGACTCAGTTGGGTGGCTGAAAAAGGTAGGGCCTCTGTCGAGCCTTTCAAAAACAGGACTTTCCTGCAACCATAAGACATGTGAATCTCAACTTGTTTGCTGTTGCCTCAGACTCCTAAAGGGCTTTTCGTGGAAATCTTCGTTCGAACGCGGAAGTGCTCCTAAAAGGTTCTGTAGCTGCAGCTAGTTTTAAACCCAATCCACGCATCCCACTTGCAACTGGAGATGTGTAAGCACGATCGACGATGGAAGAGAACAAATCGCCGCACGTGCCCAACATCACCGAGCTACTTCAACGAGGTCCGACCTCGTTAAGAATCATTCCCGCAAGCTGACCATCGAGTCAAAAGGAGGTTGGTGAATCATATAGCGAATCTACACAGCAAACATAATCGAGGTAGAACCTCGAACTCGACAGCCCATTATAACCGTTTTAACTAGCTGCCCATTGTAGCCAAACCACTAGAAGGCCAGTGGAAGACTCTAGTTTGCCGAAGTGCTCAGGAAGTTCCTGGACTTGGCTTACCCAGTCAAACCATGTGTTAAATAGACGACTGGGCATTACGTCTATTAATATTTGGTGTCTCTTATGATATTTTATAATTGCAAATGAATCGATATGTGTAATGATGTATTTAATTAGATGAGATCAAATGAGATGTTCCATCCAACCATTGGTTTGCTAGAACCAACCCTCGAAACCTTCATGGACTTCACATGCATTGAACCTCAAGGTCGACCCAAAACACGTTGCCGACTTCGTTCGCCATGGGGACAAAAAGGCTAAAGCTCACTCGGCTAAAGCTCCCTGGGAGGATTGGAGGCTGTGTTGAGGTCAAAGAAGTTCCAGGGCTGCAAAGAGAAGGAGACTCCGAAGTTGGAGACCAAGGGCAAATCCTCCTGCCGCACGATGTGCTCCTGCTTTCGCTGCAGCCGCTGCGGCGCTTCCGCGTCTGGGTACCAAGCCCGCAAGGTCTGAAAAGAGGCGAACGCCGAAGCCGGCTTTTTGAGGTGGAGGGTTCGAAGAGGTCCAAGTGGTCCCAGAGCTTTCTGAGGTCGACATCACACAACCTGTTTGGCTTCCAGTCGCCCACCATGATTTGTTGATATGGATTGATTGACCATGGTTTTGATCGAACAACTATGCCTTTTCAATGGATTTTAGACATATTTCAGACTATGATGGGTCTCCGCATCGGCGAAGGTTTACCAGAGAGGTCGAACACCTCACGGTCGAGATCAACTGACCCATCTTCAAGCAGATCGTAGCTATCTGGAGATCGTGGCTGACTTCCAGACTCACCATACATAAGACGAGTAACACATATAAGCTTAGGAGAGTCTGAGAGGAGAGGAGAGAGGAGAGAGGAGAGAGGAGAGAGGAGGAGAGATTACCTTCGGATATTCTTGACAAGGTCAGATGGGGTGTTCTGGATCTCGGTGATGGATCATCCTTGAGATGGATCATCATGCTAATCTGTGGGGCTCCAACTACCTTAAGAATATGGGTGTTTGGACTACATAGGTTTGGAGGGTCAGGGGTACACTCCCTGCAACAATCATGAAGTGGAAAATCCCTTGTATGTAGAGGAAAATGGTCATCCTTTCGGGGCGATCTTCTGCTTCTTATTTCAGGGAGTGTAGTTGGAGCTCTGGGGACTTTATTCTTACCTTCAAAGCTGACTGCTGTAGTTCCAGGGAGACACAGCTCTCTTTATCAGCTGCTGAGCCTGTCCCACATGTCAACAGCGGTGCTTTGGGGAATCGTTGCCGGAAGGTATAACGGCCTGATGTGCCAAGTATAGTACACACCTGTCCATTCGGTTCCTTTCCTTGTCCTGAATCTTCCAATCACCTGTCCACCATCATATCACCCCAGACTCCCGTCGATCAATCCCCTTCTCATCTCCCAACCCAACCCACTACGACTCGCCTTCACACCGTCTCCCCACCGTCTCGCCACGGGTCTCATCCGCCACCGTCTCCGGTCTCGACTCTCGACGGATCGGACGCTCCACGAAGGCGAGGACTCCTTGTTGAGTCCGATCCAAGCGACCAAGTCTTCATCCAGAAGCGAGTCCTCGGTGACACGGAGAGACGAACCGAGCTGACTGCTGGGTTCATGGGACTGCATAGGATGGCAGCTGATACCACCACCCCATTAGCCTATGAATCATCCATCAATCCACCCTATATAATACTATATGGCCAATATAGCATACCACCAGCATCCTGTCAGGTCACCAATGCTTTTGACCTATTAACTAGTTTCGGGGCCCAACCACCCCTCGAACGAGGAGACCTGGCACCAGGTCACCGGTCGGGTTCGACCTGCACGCCCTTCAAAACCTAGAGGAGACATGAGGAGACCTGGCAGGCGATTTGTTGCCTCTGTGAACTAGAGGTCGGTCCTGAAATCAGGTGCCCAGTCAGACCATTCTTGGACTTTTTGTTTGTAGTCATTAGACGCATTGTGTCCATCAATATGTGTAATTCTATATAATCCATGAGATCAGATGAGATGTCCCATCATGAACACAGAAACCGTCCAAATCTCTCTCTGCGGCCCAGCAGCATTGTTCGACAAGAAGACGTCCAAATCCTGCGCATATGCGCCGGTCAATGGCTGAAGTCCATCAAAATTCCTCGGCAGCGGCAGGTTGACGGGAATTTTCTATAGGTGTCTCACCATGGCTCCAACTGCAGGCAAAGCAGTTGGACTATGACTAAGTGTTGAGACAGCGAAACAAGTACACAGTGTTTGAAGGATGCCTTTAAATAAAAAGCCTCATCTCTCATCGGTGGGTAGAAAAGCTCGGGAAATGTCCCGAGAGCGGCACTAATGAAGCAAAGCCTCACATAGGGTGAGGAAGGCCGGTATTCGTTGTCCTGGTCAGCCAGGGCTCTTTTTGAGCCGCGGCAAGGAAAGAAAGGCGAGGGTTGATACCAGTTCAGCATGTTTGAAGCTTTCAAGCTCTCCCCTGGGCGGGTGAAGCGGATCCTGTCCGTTAGTCCGACAGGCCCCAGTGAGTGAATAGACGATCCGAGGTCAGGTACTCATCACCTCCGACAGGTCACCTCTGGTCACCGAGGAAGCCTCGGTAAAACCCAAAAAAAAAAGACACTCTGACGAACACATCACATGGAAGTGGAACATGGTCCCTTGCAAGACGGCCTTCCTTTAATGAACTGGGGGTGTTTTTTTTCCACTTCTAACTGTGAGTGAGTCGGAGTGTACTGTCTTCGACTTCAAAGGCCCGGCCGCCAGTAAAGTGTGATGACTAACCGATCTTCGACATCCTGAGATGGACGAAATGAGTCCATCTCAGGGACAACACACCACGTCGAGCTGGGTGATCAACTCACCAAAGCAGCTGAAGATGTTTTGGTATATGGCTGTGGGTCAAACCCGGCACACTGGTTGACCAAGTTGACCCTGAAAATGAATATGTTCCCTATATATGATGTGAACTTCCACCACGGTTTGCTGGGGGAAGTGCCATGACTCGCCATATACTCACCATATAACCCTAGGCCCTAGGCTTCCTGGCCCACCATTAATTCAATAGCCGGAACATCCCAAACAACCATTGCTTTACATTTTTCACTACAACACCAGGTCGTTCCCCTCCAGTAGCCATGGTCGTTCCCATAAGGCGACGTCACGTGTCCATCCGACCGTCCATCCGACCGTCCACCACGAGGGTTTTAGAGGACGACACGTGGCTGGAGGATGCTGGTAGAGGAGGTGGGACGACATCACCGGAGATGGTTCCGAGAACGGAGCTCCCGTTCTCATGTGGGTCGTCGAGTCCGTCCGCGCCTGGTACTTGGTGACCGCCAAATGATACTTCGTCCAGGGCATGGCCCGCACAAAGGGATGCGAGGCGCCATGCACTTGACCCGTCGCCTCAGAGACGCGGTTCACGTCAACACGCGTTGCCCTTGTCGAGGAGCTGAGGTGAGGTGAGAATGGGATGAGCTACGTAGCTCCCCCCCTCCGGTCGCGTTTTTTCGTGGAGGCGGACTGGATAACCCCCCCAGCCGGCGCCGACTCCTTCGCTCCAGCGTCCTCGCAGCAGCGTCCCCGCGGAAGCAACCCTGATGCCGGATGATAGATCAACAAAAGTCTAAGTGAAAATGAGTACCAGCACCCTCCTGGCCAGGCTGTTAGTTGAGGGTTGTTGGACCCTGTCTCAGGTCTCAATTGGTGACCTGTAGAGTCGAGTGCTGGTAGATAGAAAAGGTGTCCAAATGTGTACATTCTTGGTGGGAATACGGTTCTATCTATACTTCGGAGTCTATAGCTTCCTATAAACGTCTCACCCACCAGGAGGTTTGCCCGGCAACCCTGGGAGTGGTCGGACGTCCAAAGTCCTCGGAGTAGAGATTCCAATCTCACCTTCCGTGTCCCCAAGGCCTCGAAAGCACCGGAAAAAACCCATCTCTCCAACCAGCTCGTACCGAGTAGACACGAGGCGTCCAAATTCAACAAAAACAGGAGAAACACCCCAATTCCGTCGGTGGCTGAAAATGGAGAAATTCTTGAAGTGGTAGGTGGTGACCTGGCAGACCTTCGGGTGCTGGTAGACTCTACACTACTTAGTTCTGACGAGAAGATCCAGGGAGGTTTGGACACCAATCCTATCCGCTGACAGAGTTTGCTAGGGCTTTGGCCTTCACGACTAGGGTCTGGGACCTCAAACATTGACCTGTCCAGGGTCCATGAGCCTCGGAAAGGAAAAAGAATCCGATGCTGACCGATGGACGAAGGAGAGCAACTCGATCCTGTAGCCACCTCGATCCAGCGATTGAGGGGCCTGTCAACGTGTCTTGCTTGAAAAGCTCAGATTTACTGCAGGACTGGCAGATTTACTACGTTCCAAAAGCCCCACCATCCATCAAAAACCTATAGTGTTCCCTAGCAAAAAACATGTGACATGGTTTTTGTATGTGAAAACCGTTGTTTTTCATGGTTTTGAGGGATTGACGGGCGACCACGCGGTGGCCGCCTGCCACAGGTTCTCACCAAGAGAGACTTCACCGAGCTTCGACGACTGGGGTAAAATCAGGTGATACAACACATAATAACAAGAAAGCAAAGAAAAGCATACCTGGACTCCAATGGAGGTACCTTAGTAGTGTAGGGGCTTCCATTGGTGACCCCTTTGAAGGTGCTGGTAGCCCTTTTTTGTGTTATTGTGGTGTTCTGATCATAGGTCTGTAAAAAACAGCTTCAAGGAATGCTTTTGAGATGACAGAACACAACTGCCAGGACCCTCCGTTCGGTTCGGCTGTTTGGAGACCCGACCACAGGTGGTGAACCGAAGACACCGACCTGTTTGTTGGCACTAGGAAACACCTGTAAAGTCGGGTGCTGGTGGTTTGTTTGTTTGTTTGTCTATGAAATCAATTGGCGTGACCTTCTCTGAGGACCTAGACCGAGTCGTAGGGCCGAAGCTCATCTAGACCGCCAAACCGTCGAGGCGGAACAAAAGGAGGAGCGGAATGTGCCGCTCGTCCGAACTAGGAGGCTGCAAGACATGCGTAGGGCCACAGGCCGAACCGGGAGAACTTGGAAGAAGCAGAAGATCATCGAGGCATGTCAGACAGGAGATGTGTGTTGTTATTTTTGTACAGCATAGGTTTGGACAGGAGCCATTCGCAGCACTGTTTGACCCCAATTTGTTGATGCAACATGTGTTCCATACCAGGAGCCTCCAACAATTCACCAATGGTCACCACCTGCGACTTTTTGGGAACTACAAAAGCCTCCATTTCAATGACCTGTAGAGTCAGGTGCTGGCAGGGGATCATCAACTCTGGCAGTTTGTGTTTTTGGATGTTTTTTGTACAGAACTGATCAATCAGCAGATAATCCAGAAATCCTATCTTTTCTTGGAGCATTTATATAAGAGTCATAGACTGAGTCATAGTCAGCTAAGATTGGCCTCGTTGCAAGACTTGGTCCATCGCTTGTGGTCCAACCTCCAGCCACACCAGCTGCCCCACCCGCTACTCCATTCCAAAATGCTCCGAGACACGAGGATTCTTGTGGCTGCCACGGGAGACCGAGCTGTTTCGATTCACAATCGCCTCGGCGTCGAGGTGAAGCTTGGCGCAAGAGGTGATGCAGGGATAACTTGGCGAGGTGATCACGGCTGGGCTGGGGAGGCTTTGGGATCTGTTTTTCCTCCCACGCAATGCCAGGTGTTTGTATCTCCCGACCAAAGGAGACCTGTAGAGTCGGGTGCTGGTATGGTTTTTTGAATGTTTTTGAGGGACTGGTCGGGTTGTTTGGTGCGTCTGGGTGGGTCAGCTCTTCCATTTTCGGCCACCAACGGTCCCTCGGGGTGCTCAGGTACTGAGGTACTGCGTCAGCTTTTCCGCCAGACCGGTGGGGTGCTCAAGGTACATGGTTCGTCAATCTAGGAATCCACATACTTGGAGACGCTGTGATGTAGGTGCCAGGAGGGTCCAGTCCTTCTTGGATCCCTACAGTATGCTAGGGCCAGGTCTTGTGGAGCCTTTGGGAACTCCTTCACTGGACTCCTCGACAGACGCTGAGGGTTTGGGCCTTTCCAGTGGTAAGGGCAACGAAAATTGAAAGGAATCCTCTTGTGTGAAACAGGTAGGCTGCCAGGTAGGCTTAGGTCTCAAAATCTTTGGGGGCACCACAAATGACTTCTTTTTCAGATATCATCCATCTTCAAATCAACCTATTTAGTGCTTCAATGGATGTCCTGTCTGGAGACTTCTAGGTGCATAGGGTTGTCCAGCCAGGTGACGTGTTTTGAAGCAGCTGGAGTCTGGAGCCCTCCAAATCCATCAAACCCTGAACTTGCCCTGAATTCCAGGACACCACACAAACCAACGCCCGGCTGACACTCGGCTGTGCGACCAGACAAACCAAAAGCAGCCGAGTGCGCTTTCAGGGAGACTGGTGGGAAGAAAAAAGAACGGAACACTCTCCAGCCAGCCCTCGCACCATTCGCACCTGCCCAAGCTGACCACCCCTCGCACCATTCGCACCTCTGACTGCCCACCCGCACCCAACTGGACCCACCCGTCACGTGCCAGTCCCAGAGACCCAAGCTTTCGGCACATGCCTCGGCAACCGCGGTGGTTGGATGGATGGCTGGCAACGTGGCGGGGGTGCAAAGGTTGGGAGGGGGGAGAGGGGGGGGATCGGTCTGAAAACCCTTTTGTGGCCCCTCCCAAGATGCCTATGTGCAGGGGACCCTCTACTGCTCCAACAGCACCGTGCCGCTGCAGCTTTTGTCAGCTCCAGTGCCGCTGGTCGCTGCGGTGACTCAGTGTAAGAAGACCAAGAGGCCTTCGGAAAAGATCGATGAACTGTTCTTGCTCCAAAGATGCACCCGACTTCACAGGTGTTTCCTGGTGCCAAGTCCGGTGTCCAGGTTCACCACCTGTGGTCGGCTCTCCAAACAGCCGAACCTTACGGAGGGTCCTGGAAGGTTGTCTTGTGACATCATGTGACAACCTGGACCCTCCTGGGCAGGTGTTTCCTGGTGACAAGTCCGGTGCCCAGAAACCACTGGACGTGGACTTCTAAAAATCCTAGAAGTTGAATATGATGTGCTCTATAGACCTCTGTGCAACAGCACGTGCCTTTTCGGCGATCAAACCAGCTCAGCACGTTCGGCAGAAGTGGTGCAAACAGGATGCAGGTATGGTTCGGAATCCCGTTTCACCTTCAACATTCCCAAGGCTCTTGGAAGGACCACACAAGACCCCAGTCCAGTGAAAGACCATTGTGGGGGGGGCACCACCGAAGCGTTGTCAGGAAATTCCTGGACAGTGACCAAAGGGTCATATAGTGCGTCTTTCACCCTGGCAGGTCTCGGATGCTCCTGGACTCGAGTCATCCGAGTCAAGTCTCCCTCTGCCCAAACCGCCCCTCTTCGACTCGAGCGGCGTGTCGGCCACGAAGGTGGAGTTGGCACCTGCAGGAGGAGGATAAGGGAGGACGAAGGGGTGCAGGATGGACGAAGGGTCGACCTTTCTTTAGACAGCGGCGACAACCCAAAAAACACGTGGCAAATCTCGGAACTGCAGAATGTGACTTCGTCTAACCGTCTAACCCGACATTCTCCATGAAAACATGTATATCCTAGAAGTCCAGTTCGACTATATATGTTGACCTAGACTCGTGTCACCTAAAGACTCTTTTTATAGTCTTTGACTCCCAGGGTATCCAAACCACCTTCCGGTCCCCAGGAAGTTCCGAGCCCTCGGGGTGTCCCCCGTTCCAGGCTGTTGACACCCGACTCTAGTCGGGCGGGTGGTATGGAAACCCTTGGGATTGTTCTTGGATAGTCGGAAAAACCCGAGGATTTCACCGGCGACTGAGCGTCGATGTGGCGTATATGATTGGAGAATAAGGGATCCCATTATCCACTCACTTAGGACTTAGATGGACTTAGTGACTCAAAAACCCTTCCTTTGGAACTGCTGGTATATCGTTTAACCCGAAGAATCTGGACTTCCTTCCCAATGGAAGGGTTTTTGGGGGGGGTCCAAGACCTTCACTATGGGTCCGAGACCTTCACTATGGAGGGCTCAAGGATTCGTTAGTTAGGAAGAAAAAAACAACCAGCATGCTCCAACAGGCTGTTAGTTGAGGGTGGTTGGACCCTAACAGGTCTCAATTGGTGACCTGTCGGAGGGTGCTGGAAGACAGTTAAAACATGTAAAAACGGTAACCTAAGATGCTAGCTTGGAGAAGGCACCTGCAATTTTTACCTCAATTCAAATGATTCAACCGTTCTATATTATGTTTGCTTAGCTTGGTTTGAGAAAAAAAGTCTCCCGCAAAATGCACTTTCATGTCACCAAGCAGTTCTGGGTGTCCAGGACTTCAGCCTTTCAGTCTTGAATAGTCTGATGAGGTCTAGATGACTGGGGTCCCAGGAACTTCCTGAACACTTCAGTGGGGCAACCGAAGAACCCAAAGGGTTGGAGACACCACAAAGCAACACCAAGTCAACCGAGATCTTCTTGTCTTACACCAGGACCGAACCCCGTTCGTCCGGTGGTTTTGGGACACCCCGGATCACGAAGTTTCATAGACATGTCTCCTGGTCTAGCAGGGTGGCACAGAGTCACCGAGTCACGGCTCTCTCGACCTCCGTCTCCAACTCCACGCCCAAAAAAACCCGCGAGAGCCCCGACGGGTCCAGCTGTGCGGACCGACCGCCTTCGCGCTCCACGTAGCGATGTTGCAGGATCTTGGTGGGGAAGCTGGGCTCCTTGGGATCGGCCTTCCAATCCACACCAAGCCCTGTGCAGTCCAGCAACGGCTCGGTCAGACGGGCGACTCCGACTCCGGACGACGGGCGGTCGCTGCGAAGCGGAGACGCGGCGAAGCTGCGAAGGCGGAAGTGCTGGCCGTGAAAGAAAAAAGGGGCATGTGCTGGTTCTCTAGTGACAAATCCTTAGTGCAGGACCCGACTCTACAGGTGTCTATCAATAGCTTCGAATAGAGGTGATTTGGGGTGTCCAAAATCCACCTGGTTGATGTGAATTGGTCGGTTGGCAAAGACCATTGAAACAATGGTTGGCCAGGAGTCCCAGCTTGTAGATGTCCAAAAGCAGTGGACACTCTTCCTGACTTGGCGTACGATATTGATACAAAAGCCTAGGGAATTTAGAGCTGGGACCAATGGTGACCTATCAAAATATACTTTCATAATTTTCAGAAAAGTCTCAAAGCATCTCAAAAAGTCCTGCTGAATCCTCAAAAATGCCTACAGTAATGTTCTTATGCACAAACAGCCCAAAATGCGCAAACAGCATGTCAAACTCTCTCTCAAAGGTTCCAGCCCACGGCTGGCCACCTCGCCCCCCCCCCGCTGGTGACCTCAGTTCACCCCCCCCGACGCCGAACCTCGCCAAGCCCACCGGCCTTCAGATGCGTGTTCCCGGACCTCCGTGACGTGCAAGGCATTCTTCGATCCTCTCAGATCGATCGACCATCGAGGATGAGTCGAGGATGGGACGAGTTCGGTCGGATCTCCCTGAACCCGTATAGGGAGTTCGGGCGAAGCCAATTCCGGGCACCTCCCACCAGGTGCCGGTTCCTTCGCATCCACCCCCCGACGTCGTGCAACGTCGTCCCCATCTTCTCCCCATCTTCTCTCCACGATGCCCAGCGGTCGCGTGTTTTCACACGCACCGCGCGCCGCCTGCGATTTCGATGTCGGCTTTCCACGCCACACTGTGCGTGTGGACGATTCCAGCCACGCCATCACGCACCTCGCGAGGCCGAACGAAGCGGTGTGACAAAGCGGTGTGACTGTGACCTGTTCGGATGGTGGTCTGCCAGGTTGGACGTGACCCTGGACCCTCATATGCAGGGATTGGACCCTCATACCGGCAACCTTGTGGTTGCTTTGTTGGGGTCAGAAGTTCAACATACCGTTTTTGTTTTATGATAGGTCTGTGAACCACACTAACATACGCAACCGAAATAAGCATCCGCAGAAAAAAGCACGTTCGGGTAAAACGCCCGTGGCTCACCAATAAACACCCGTGTATATAGTGATAGTTTGTGTATTTGCGCGCCAGTGGAATATCAGATTCTGAGTCAGAAAACTAGAGAAACCTCCGCAGGCAATCGCAGACTCAAATAATATAATTCCAAAAGGTTGTTTTCACGCCGCAGATCAAAGACAACACTGAGGAAGTTCCAGGTATGGAGAGGTCAGGACCCGAACCAATCCCTATATCTCATTATATCATTGTATCTCTATGGTTTTGATGGGGTGACAAAATACTCCAAGTAACCTTTTTATCCTCTGGTTTGAAGCCACAAAAGAAGCTGGTAGATGACCCTTTTGTCCCGAACACTTTGGTGGTGCCAAAAAGAGTCGTTCACCCAGCACCACCCAGTTCAGGTCCCGTGGGCATGACATCTCGAAAACTGGGCCTCAACTGAAAATCAGACTTGAAATCGACTGCAAAAGTAACAAGATCCTTTTGCGACTCCAAAAGCATCTGTCAGAATCTGGCCTTTTCACGGGCCGGTCGGCACTCCACCCCGCACTGGTTGATAGACCGCCCTGAAGATGTATTTGTCATTAAATCACCCCCCCGAACTGGGTGGTGCTGGACTGGACTTCCATCTCAGACTCGGCCGAACTGGCATCCGGTCCATCCGGCCCTTCCATCCGCCAAGGGCGCTGCTTGGATTTGCTGCTCCAGGAGCCTAGAAAGAATAAGTCTTAATGTGTCCTTTTCACAGGCGAGGGATTGGCCCAGTTCTGAAGACTAAGAATCACCCTGATTGAGCCAAAAGAAAAAAGGCCTATGCCCTGGTCTTAACTCTTCCTCGGCCATCATGAATCATGGTTCTTTGAGCATCGAAAAACGCCCCAACCCTGGAGACTGATGGATGATCCCAGTCTGACTTGGGACAAAATAGGGCTCTGGCTGTGCCTACATTAGCCCCTTGACTCAACTACCCCCGGCCTGATCGGGTTTTTCATATATTTATTTCACACATACCAGGAGCTTCCAACAGGTACAGGTGGTTCTTGGGCTCCTCGAACAACTGCTTTCGAAAGCACCGGGCTTGTCATCAGGAACCGATCTTAGAGGGCGCAGCGGCGCTGTCCATTTCCGGCTCTCTCACCCAAATAGGGTGTGCCCTATGGAGGTGCTCCCCGTCTCCACGCAGAGCGAAACCCAAGGCACCAAAGTGGAGAAGGCCTCTTCGCCCTTTCCCGGGAAGCGGGTCTCGGGATATCCGGCAAAGCGCGTCTCCACGTGGATCTCGCCTCGAACATCGGGCGAGTCCAACAGGTCCCAACAGGTCGTCTCGGTGAGGGAAAGGACCCGAACAGGTCGGTCCTGGGTCGGGTCCTGGTTGACCAAGGATTTTGGGCACCCAAATGCAGGCCTTCTCAGCTTCGGCCCAGTGGTGGTTGGCGCGGCTCGGACGTGGCCCGGATCGATGGGAGCTGGACCCATGAACGCAGGAGACCGGACCTCCACTGGTCCGCGCCGGACCTGATCCACGGACCCTTCCAAAACGGACCGCCATTGGAACCCTCACCCGATGTGTCTGTTTTTTTAATGCAAGTTCTTGACACTTGGCGAGATTAAGAGCACCGGTGTTCATGTTCATGGTCCAAAATTGGCCAGAACTTGCCCCATGCCCATGCATCCATGCTTTAACAGTCCATTCACAGTTCGAGCATGTACATGCATGCTACCAGGACCTTCCAAGCCAGGTCTTTTTTGGACACCCCCTTCCTCACCTCACCTTATGACACCTCAAGCTAAAACCGGTGTCGGTGCTGGTGGTCTTCGACCACGTCCCGACACCCGACAACCGTCCCGCGACACGGCTGGTGCTTCGGGTGACCATCGTCTCGGAACTTGACGTCCATGATGTAGTCGTAGTTTCCCACCGTGGCAATGGACCTGTTGAAACCACGACCACGGTACCATTAGGTGCTCGGCATAAGTGCAATCCGTCATCCTTCTGATATGTGTTCCCCAACCACCGATTTCAGGGTCGACCTGGTCGAGTCTATACCAAACAACCCTCCGTTGGGAGTCCGACGTGACGTGGTTTGTTAAATGTAAAATCCTTATCAATGGTGGTTGGAAGGCTGGAGCATTGTTCTACTAAGGATTTTTCTACTACAACACCAGGTCGTTCCCGAACTCGTTGAATGGTCGAGCCTCGTTCACTCGGCGACTGCGAAAATTCTTGGATTCATGGGGGAGAATCTATGATCTGTCGGAAAATGCCCTGGAAATGTGTACCCTGGGGATCCACATACCTTCTGCACCTCCGATACTCGCCCCATGAGTAAGAATTTGATACATGCCTCATGTCGACAGTGTCTTTCTCATGGTTCGCGAGGGATCCACTGCTTCTGAGAAGGTACAACTGAACCCTCCAATCATCCTCTCAGAGGGTATGTGGATCCATAGGGGCCCCGTTGTTCCTGCAGAACAACTCGATTGGTCTACGACGCACGGAAAAAAGACAAATCAAAATCTACATAAATCTGCCATGGTCTTTTGGTCGGAGTGAGGTAAACAGAGCTTTGAGTCTGCACCAAATCCGCCGAGTTCGTGGCGCATTTGGATGTCGTTCCTGGTGCACTGGTGCACCTTCGTTCCATGGTGAGCCTGGTCTTTGGTGGTACCCTCGAGTCTTGTAAACTTGTCGCACAAATCCATACCCCTAGGAGTCCAACACCATTCTATATAAAATGCATTTATGGTCTGTACCAGGACCCTCCAACAAGCTGTTTGGAGACAGGTGGTTTCTGGGCACCTGTTGCTACCAGGAAGCACCTGTTGGAGGGTGCTGGTATAAAATGCATTTATGGTCTGTGACCCTTTTGCCCCAGGAATGTCCTGAACACTTCGGTGGTGCCAAGACTTCTAGGGAGGTACCAACCCATTCACCAATTGTTGGTGGTCAACTTGCGAAATGAAAGCTGCCCAGGTTCCACAAAAAACAGTGACCACCAACACCAACGGTTCAGCTCAAAAAACAGACTATAGGCTATACTATATGACTCTGACCCACAAACAGGAAACAAACACCAGATTTCAAGCTAACTTCAAACGCTTCAAGACTCTTAGACGAAAAGAAACACATACATTCACATACCAGGACCCAGGACCTTCCAACAGGTGGTTTTTGGACACCCGTTAACCTCCAAATAGAAGGCTATTTGTAGACCTCTTACACGGTGTCGGTGCTGGTAGCAACAAATCTTTTCTTCGCCATCCGCACCGCCGCGCCTCACCACGACAGTCTTCCGCACCAGGCCGCGGACGTGATTTCCGTCCATGTGGCGCCAGATCTCATGGTCTTCGGCCCAGTCGAAGATGCAAATCGGCCAGAAGGTTTGCGCCTTCCTGAAAACCACCCCGACGCAAAGGACCCTGGACCCGAAAAGAAGGGGCCGTACCCGAATCCTCGGGTCAGGGGTCCGGACCTTCTCACCAATCCCTGTGGTTTTGAGGGGACCAGTCGGCCTGTTTGGAGCGTCTGGACAGAACCCAAACCCTCCCAATTACAACCCTAGCTTGGTCCTCAAAACCAAAGCTATTGGTTCAGCTGGGGACCCCTGACCCGAGGAAAACCGGCGGCCATTTGTGTGTTCGGGTGTTTCGGATCATCTAGGGAAAACGGACCGTTTGGACTGGTCCTCTTCGTCCTAGCACATGGAAGTGCAAAAAGAACTACGGCCCCTAAGGATCCGAGTTCGCACCCTCCTTAGAAGGGTTCGAGCCCTCTAGTTCACAAGGGTTTGGGGCCCCGAACCAAACCCTTGTTTTTGAGGGTGTAACATCCTTAGGGTGATTTGTACGTAGCGTTTGTAGAGGATTTGCAGGGTCGAACTCGGGGCCTGGCCGCCATCTACTTCCATGTGACCTGAAGGTCTCATGACGGTCTCATGACATGTCTCATGACGGTCTCATGACATGTCTCACATGTAAACCCCAAGGTAACTGTACAGGCACCAAGACCATCCGTGCAAGAGGTGTCCATGTCCTCTGCCCGAGATGAGGACCGGGGGTGTCCATCCAAACCACCGGACGAAGGGGTTCGGCCCTGATGGCAGCAATGAGACGACATGGTGTCTTTGATTCAGCAGGATTCGGATCGAAAAGTCAGCTCCCCAACCGCCCAGCATGTGAACTTTGTGGATGGACTAAGGAACTTCTGGGTGTGGAGGTGCACAGCATGTCACAGCTGTACGTCTTCTTTACGGAAGTCTTTGCTCAGTGAGTTGTAATGGGGGGAGGATCAACCCTGGGATTCCAACAACCATGTTGTTTTAATATGGTTGATGGTCTTTACCAAAGAACTGTTGTTTTGCACGGATGTTAGATTACAAAAACGGGCCACTCGCTCGCACCTGACTTCAACTCTTTTGCACCCCACCAACGATCCGCCCTTCATGTCACCCACATTCACACATCGCTCATGTGAATCAGAATTCGGGCCCGAACCGAATCCAAACCAATGGGCTTCTGGAATTGGTCCATCCGACGGTCCGCCGTGGGACCGACCGAGAGGGTCGGGTGCCTCAGAGTCTTCGGGTGGCCCTCAAAACGAAACGGTTGGCTTCGGGGCCCCAAAACCCTTGTTTGTTTGAGGGCTCGAACCCCCCCGTTTTGGTTCGGGTCCGGACTCGGATCCTTCAAAGTAACAGCAAAAAAAACAAGGAATCGCCCACCGGCCCCTGTCCTGGGGTCAGGTTCCCGATTCATGTCAGGACCCATCCAGTTGACCGCTGAGAGGTACGTGGCCTGGCCCAGTGTGCGAACTACTCGCGAACTACTCGCGAACTAGGCTGGTGGGAGACCCAGGGAGAAACCAGAACCTGGGACTTAGGGTGGCCAAAGATGTTGGCAACATGTTCTGAGAAAGAAAAGGACCTCTCTTAGGAGCCCAAAAGCAAGTCAAGTCTGTGGCTTCCAACCCGCAGGATCCATCTGTGCTCGTTTCAGGCTATGGAAGTCAACCGTAGGAGGTCAGGAACGGACCTTAATTTGCTGGAGTTGAGTGATACAACAACACTAACTCAATGAGGTTTTCAGCATTGGACCCTGCGTCAGGCTGGGCCTGTAGCGTCATGTAGCTTTTCTTCTGTCAAGCGGACCCACCGAAGAAAAACCGGACCCAGCGAAGCATCGAAAAGGGGGCCCCCCCCTTACCAGTGTCGGAAGTGACCTTTCGAAGTCCAGTTTGACGATATTTAGCACCACCAAAGTCAAGGACCTTCCTGAAATCGGATCGTTTAAATGTTGAACATCGTCTGGGGCTTGGGTAAAGACAGATCCTGCCATTCCCCACCCTCTCAGTTCTCCTACAGGTTCTGAACTCATTTCCCGGTTTTGGGGCGTGGTTTATGGCGTGGGTCGGATTTGGGGGGGTACCCATCCTGTCCAGCCCAGCTGCAACAGGGCATGTACGCCATGTACTTCCAAGCACTCTGCCACTGGGAATAGATCTTGCGCAAATCAAAAGACAGCTTTTGATATCTTTTCTTACAAAAGCAAAGCCACGGATTCCAAGTATATAATCACACCTGTGTCCTCTCAACAAGCAGGGTGGATGATCAAATCCGCAACAAGCCTAGACCCTTCGAAGTAATTAAGGGTCCGATCCAAATCTTCTGGAGGCGTCTAAGATTTCAATCCCTTATAGGTTTTGACGGAGCAAGAGGTCGGCCTGTGAACTCAGGGGTTGCGTCGTTCACGGGTCTTTCAACATCTCAGCCACCGAAGAGAACGAATGTCCGACCCACTGAACCTGTTGGTATCACCATCTGGAGGGGTTGGACGCTCCATAGCAGGGGATGCAGACTCGAACCAAACCCTTCACATTGCTTCGCCGCCAGATTCTTAGGGCAAATCCAGCAAAATGAGGTGCAACTGACCTGTCCCAGACCGGGTGCAGGTGCCTGACCTCGCATGCTCGAAATGTGTACCAGTGGCCCTCAAAACCCATGGAAAATAGAGGTTTTCACAAACAAACACCTTGTCTTGTGCTAGGGAAAACCAGCTCTTTGATGGTTTGTGAGGCCCCTGGTAGGACTTCCCGACTCCCCCACCCTCTTCTCCGTCGACCTCGCTGGGGCAATCGACGCCCGGCTCAAGGGAGGCGCTCCACTGAGACAAGGTGTAAGCGCTATCGGAATACCTGCACGGTCAAAGCAAAATCAAGCTTCAAACGCTCCATGTTCTGGCGCAAAACATCTATGGTACATGACTGAGTGGCATTGGGTGGTGAACATAGGCCACCTTTGCGGCACCATGGAGGGAAGGTTGCAGTGGTGTCCGACCATGGAGGGAAGGTTGCAGTGGTGTCCGACCCCTGAGCCAAAGCCCTGGAACAGATACAGGTGAACCGAGAATTCCACCTGTTCAGTGAGAAAAAAACCATCCCAAAAGGAAGTCGATTTCGATTTCGTCTGACTCGAATCCCCATCCCCTGTTCGCTCTTGCAGCTCTTAGCCCATCGGCCGCCGGCATTTTTTCGGAACGACGGCAGGGTTCCCGGTGATTTTTGGGGGGAGGGTAGAGTCTACCCCCCTCGTTCGACCTGATGGTGATCTTTTTGGAGGATTTGAGGGGCGAGCTGCGAAGATTTTCGCACTACCAAACGAGGACCCTGGCTCTTCAAAGTGAACCTTCGAGATTTTAAGTGGTCCGCTCACTTTTGGTCGCCTCGTAGAAGGGTCACTTCTACAGCTGTTGCCTCTCAAGTTTGGTCACTTTGAAGCATGTCAACCGTGTTTTTGGTGTTTTTGGATTTTTGGTTTCGAACGGAAGGCGTGTCCATCCACGGAGGCGCGAGCCGGAGCCTGGAATCCTGAAAACTCCCGCCGGCGAGACAGAGGACCTTCCAAGTGACCTTCGCAGTGACCCCAAAGGGTTGACCTACAGAGGTTAAGTGACCTGAACTAGGACCCTACAGGGGTACCTACAGGACAGTCTATAGGGTTCTTCAACCTTTGCTGGTGAGATCTCAGTGGTGGGTCGGCCACTTAAGACTTAAGTCTGTCAAAGGTCACGTATACCAATCCTCAAGTTCGGTCACTGGGAAGGTCCCTGGAACGCACAAGTCAACGATACCAGCTGCTTCCATTAGAGTGTCCAAGCGGAGAGCTATAAGTATCATTGCTTTTTAGTATCATTTATAATATTGAAATTTATATGGTTACTATAGTCTTTGATCCCGTCTTTGATCCCCAAGGAACCAGTCTGTGCTCACGTCCAAGATACATGAACTGATCACGCAGGGCTCCTCCATAGATCGCCTGCGCATCCATCAAAGCCAACCTCGGCGCGACGCGGACTGAGCGGACCGGCCAGGTCCGCTTCCTCTTGAGAAAGGCACGACACCAACGCCTGGAGCCCTGCTCCCTTCAACGAGAGATGTCTGAAAAGTCCAGGCGAGGAGAAACATGCTGGTGTACCAGCACCCTCCAGCAGGTTAGTCTCCAAAAGCAACCAAAAATCGGAGACCTGGTCAGAGTCGGATGCAGACTATACATGTCTATAGCTCCAAGAGACGGGCGACGTCCGATCGATAGCTGCCGATCGGTGTTTCCGAACCGAACTCAGGTCGAGCTACCAGGACCGAACCCAAGAGGTGTGTTTCTTCTCAGAGGTGAGGACCCGGGGTGTCCAAGAACCACCGGACACCGACCTACACCGGACTTCGTGTTCCACCAGGGTGTCGACACGCCGCCCTTCGCACCGGACTTGGGGTTCGGTCCTGGTACCATGTTTGGACATCTCGGAGATGTCGGAGATGTCCTGGTACCATGTCTGCCCAGACGCTCATGGGCCCTCATATGGAGGGGTCGGACCCTCATATGGAGGGGTCTGGGGTCTCAAATCCCTAGGGTTTTGAGGTACCAAGAGCTGTTTGGAGCGTCTGGGTGGTTCAGATGTTTGGTCTTTACCTGAATCTCCAGACATCTCGGAGAGGAGTGCGTCCGGTCCTAAACGAATGAGGCCACTAACCTCCATGTGAAACCCCCTCGCTTGGTGACGAACACGTCGGTGCGTCAGACCCGAAAAAAAACCCACGATCCCCCCTTGCCCCGGCCCGGGATGGGTGGAACCTCTGGAACCTCGGGCCACACAGCTGTGGTGGGACCGGGGTTTTCGGTCGCACCTCAGTCCCAGGATGTGGCACTGGAGGCCCCTAGACACTTGGGGCCCGATGGTAGGGGATCTCAGCGGACCTGGAAACCTGGAGTCCAAGCAGAAACACTTCTGGATGGAACTCAGTCCCAGAAACTTCGTAAGTCCTATATAAATAGGATGGAAACATGGTCATCATGAAACCTCTTCTGGTTGGACTGGGAGTCCAGAAACTCGGATCAACACTCAATCACCGGCTAACCGAGGGTTCACCCTTGAAAGAGTTTCGTTGACCGACCTGGTTGTGGAAGTGTCAAATCCTTAGTTGAACAATGGTTCTTCAAAAGGGCTACTCCCCAACTCTGCGCTATTTGAGTTCATCAAACCATGAAGAGCGCTCTTTGGTTGTGGATCAAAACTGCCAGCACCTTCCAACAAGTCATCACCTGCCACATTTAGTGCATATATGTTCATCAAGGCTGATCGGTGGCAGGGAAGCAGCAGCGGCAGTGGTAGTGGTGGTAGGAAGATATTTTGAGGCTGGCACCTAGATGTGGCAATGAATGTTCCATGTTTGGGATGCCACTCTTAAGTCTGCAAAAGCCACCATTTCGAAGACCTGTAGAGTCAGGTCAGGTGCTAGAAGCTCTTCCACCGGTTCAGAACCAATGCCCTCTAAACCAGGACCTTCCAAGAGATGATTTTTGGACACCCTGAATCACCTCTAAGAGGCTATAGACACCTCTTGGAAGGTCCTGGAAAAACTTAATACAGCTTTTCTTAAATGCTTTGCCCCCCCCCGCAGCCCAAAAAGATAACTCCCAGTATGCACATGTTTCACATAGCCAATCCACTGATAGCCAATCCCAGTCACTCGTACACAATCCGCTCATCGCGGAAGCGGATGTCCGTGATGGCCACACCAGTGGAGGGCCTTTGAGTCACGCTGAAGCTCCAGGCGCCCCAAGCCACGCCATTGTGGCCGCTCACCGTCCGAGCACCGCGCGCCTGGCAGCGGACCGGCGAAACCGGGAGCTTCGTGCGTTCGTGGATGGGAGTTGAAACCTGTGAAAGCGGAAACCGGGAAGACCCTTTCCAAAAAGTGGGAACGACCTGGTTTTGTCGTGTGAAATCGTATCAAACAATGGTTCTTCTTCGATGACCCGGCTATTAAGATCACTAGGTGGGCCATCCGGAATCCATCCGGGAGGGCTTGAGTTGTTAGAGCCTTGGAGGCTTGAAACCCCTACATCGATCCAGTGCCATCTCCACAGAGCCCTTTTGCTTTTTCGCTCTTGTCAGACACCTTCGCTCTGCCAGGCGGGTCCAAACCTCACAAGGTATGACCTCTATGCGTTTCGGCACGCGACATGGCTCACCATGTATCGTTGTTACTCCGATCGGGGTGAGGATCGGGGTGACTGTATATACATCCACGGTCATAGGGCCACACAGAACATCGTGGGGGACCTCACACTAACGGGTCACCCGGTATGCTACCGGCCTGTACCCGAAAGCCTTCCGCCTTCCGAAAGTCTTAGTATCACGGTTCTTCCCTTGTGAAAACTAGCGACTCGGGTGATTGTGTCCACAGCTCACTGTTCAATCATTGTTCAAGTCAAACCTCTCTCGACACTATCTTTGCACTTCTCACACCTCGGTTTTGATTTCCACCCAGACACTCTGTGAAAACAGCCCTTTCCCGGTCCCTCAAGACCTATAGGGATTGGTTCGACCCCAGTTTCCACCCGCCTGCGGGGTTTCCTTCTGCGGCGTGTCCTCGGTTCCCCCACGTTAAAGCGATGAAACCGAAACAAGGACGGTGAGAGCGGTGCATGAGGTTGCACACTCCATGGGACTGGAATATTGACACTCCATTGACCACTCCAACCACCCCAATTGATCGGTACATATGCCATACGGACCGAAGACCACCATACATGGAGTGTCCGTGGGTGGTGTCATGCACCGGAAGCTTTGATAGCACCGAAGACTTGAGAAATCGTCTCCAACGTGGTCGCTGTGGCGGAGGCGGTTTTCCCGGTCGGTCGGTTTGGGGTGGGGACGGAGTCGCGTAGCGAAACCAGGACGAAGGCGCGTAGCAGGCCAAGGATCGGAACACCTGGGCACTTGTTGGTCCTAGGGTCCCCAGTGCTTCGTACCTGAACCTGGGCACTTGGTGTCCAGGATCCCAAAGGAATCACCCCAAAGCCGGACATGGACCACGATCATAGCGCAGGGTTGGGGGGGTTCGTCACCTGAAGGTCATCGCGGCCGAAACCGGGACCCGCTTGCATTTCACTGTGCTGGTCAAGTCAATTTGCTATCCATGGCGGTCTTGCTGGTCTTTTCCGTGGGTCCCTTCTCCAAGCAAAAAGGGTTCGTTATAATTGGCCAGCACCACGGAAAAGGCGGTTATTGGAAGGAAAGTAGATACCAGCACCCTCCAGCAGGTCTCTTCTGGTGACTTTTGTGGCAGGTGGTGACTCGGTGACCTGGCAGGCTTTGGGTGCTGGTAGTGTCACTCTGTGTGCTGGATTTGGTGATGATTGGTTCCGCCCACTTGCGAAAATGGACCCTCCGTTCAGCGCGGTTCCCCGGTTCCCCGAATCCTCTGGGCTCCAGACCCTCCAAACCTGAAAATGGAGGGACGAGGAGGGTCGGCCCTGCTCCACCTGATCACCGCTTCTGCCACGTTTTCAAGTCGAGTGCAGGCTGGAAGAATAGAAAAGTATAGAAAGGTGAATACCCCAAGTTCGCCCAAATCAAAGGACGTCTTGGAAATCGAGCATTGGTCGGACCCTCCTTTTTCTCTCGAGCTGACATCCAAAAATCCCCATCCCCAGCCTTTCTCACGATGAGCCGAGGCTCCCAATGTCCCTGGTTGGAGAAATCTGGGTGACACAGCTGGAGCTTCCCGCTTCGATAAGCTTCGAGCACGCTTTCCGGTGAGTCAAAGGGGCCTTGACCACAGAAGGTGATGTGGTTCAGGGACCACTCCTGAGACCAAAGCGAGTCCCGCAGTTCAGAAAACCAAATCCCGGCGCTCTTGGTACGCTGGAAGAGAAGAATATCGATGTCATCATGGGCGCAAAAGGGCTACTGCCCAACTCTGCGCTATCCAAAAGTTCATCAAACCACTTTCAGAGCGCTCTTTCGTTGTTGAAAACTGGAGAAGACCCCAGTCGCTCGTTGGGATTCGTTCTTCGTCGCTCGAACGTAGTCCAAATCGATCGAATCAAGATGTGGATGTGGGCCGATGTGAGTCACAAAGGGGTGCGATCCATGGAGGTTAGGGGTGCCCAGCTACTCCACTCACTGGATGGGACTAAACACCACCCCGACATGTGACCCCTGGTTGGTAACACGCCTTGCGGACCAATCCATGGCGCTCCCCTTGGCAGTTTGTGTTGGCCATGGTTAGTTGGGGGTGTGAAGTAGAACGACAACTACTCCAGTAAGCACAGTGTACAACGTTGCTCGTACCACTCAGCGGTTTTTCGCGGCAAATGGTGGACTGGTCGGGCGTTGATCCGTTTTCACCACCCTCTCCGTTGGAGGTGTCAATCAATAGCCCTCTACCGATCTGAGATTTTACCAGAAACCTGCTGGACCCAGGGGTCACACCGGGTGTTCCACGTCCGGTGCCCACACACCACCTGCGGTCGGCTTCTAAAACCGGACTTGCTGGGGTGAATTCGGGGTGTCTCAAAAACAGGCTGAAGTCGGGTGCCAAGACCTGTCATTCTTCTATCCCACTCTCAAAAACGCCCGCTTAGCGAGCAATCCCCAAGTTCCTTTCACGCCACGTGTTTTCACCCCAGATCGGTCCGGACCGGAAAGCCCGAAAACAGTTTGAGCGTGAGGGTGGGTTGGGCCTAGATGGTCGAACCATTGGTGACGGCAGAACCACCCACGTCCAGGGCACTGAGACGTTCCAGGCAGTGACATTCACCTCGGTTTTGAGGTCCCGTTCACGCTCCGTGTGGCAACCACACGCCCGACCTCCCAGTCCCTCAACACCTCGGGAGTTTTGGGGGCTCGGGTCCAACCCGCAGAGGATTCGGGATTGGTTGGTTCACCTCCCTCCCTCCCGGTACCTCCAGGGGTTGGTTTGGGGTCCACACCCCATCCAGACCCGAGGAAAACCCGAGTCCGGCCGCTACTTGTGATCTTGCAGGACCCTTCAAGGTTCGGCTCTGGGCAATATTGGGCACCTGTCACCATGAAACACCTGTTGGAGGGTCCAGGTGGGTACGGAATTTCATAGGAGGACCCTCTGGCCTGGGTTTGGGGTCTACTTTCATACACCCCTAATATGGCCGTGGACGGCACCAGGAGACTGAACAGGCATGACCTACCGACTTCAAGTCGTTTGCGGCCAACGGTGGACGGGTGGATCGAACATGGGCTCCGAACCGATCGGTCGCAGCCTCCGAAGCCCGAAGAACCAGCTGTTTTACTACCCTAAGGATGTTACACCCTCAAAAACAAGGGTTTGGTTCGGGGCCCCAAACCCTTGTTATAGAGGGCTCGACCCCTTCTAAGGAGGGTGCGTTCGGATCCTTAGGGTAAGGATGTTACACCATCAAGACCAGGTCTTTCACATGTGTTTCTTCTGTTTCGGCCACCGCCCGGCTTGCAGTGTCACCTCAAGAAACGGGTGGACGGATCCTGGGTGGGGTGCCAGCTGGTCCAACGGTTGAAGAACCGCTGTTCGACTATCCCAGTTGGGTACCCCAGGTGTTCCGGGTCCTATGAGGTCACTGAACCTCTGTTGGGTGTTGCCATGTCGGCCTTTGCCCGCTTCAAAACATGGCAAGCCCCTGAGCAAGGACCTCATCTTCTGGCTCAGGGGATGTTGTTGAAGGCGTCCAGCAGGAAATCAGATCAATAACCACATGTGTTAACATTTTGGGTGGTGCTGGCAAAAGCATCTATAACCCAGTGTATATCCATGTATATCCATCCTATGGCATGTTTAGCTACATTGGGGTGGTTTGAGGGGTCAGAGGCTGCGCTGAGTGACCTTACAGAAACTCTTCGACCAGCACCACGGAGCCCCTCACTATCTATCCCAGTGCATCCCAGGCAAACCACTACAAGGAACCAGGGATTCGTTTGGTCTATATGGTTTTAGTCTTTGGAACAACTGGTTACCAGCTATAATAGTGGTAACTGGATGTGCTGGGTATTGTCCTAGCTTCCAATAACCACCCGTACTTCCGTGGTGCTCGTAAATCTATATACCAGGACCTTCCCAGTGACCGAACTTCGGGATTGGTAAGTGACCTAAATGACCCCATTCTGGGATCTCAAAGGGTCACTGGGAAGGTCGTGGTATATCGGTTTGCAGTAATTAATCTGTTCTTTGCTTTTGTGTATAAAAAGGCCCTTCTAGAGTCACCTGTTTGGGGGTGTCTAAGAATAGCCCCGAAACGAGCATCATCGAGTATCTATCCCATGCTCTCCCAAAACCCCCCAACAAACCCACTCTCACCCCCAATTTTCGGCCTCCCCCCCATCACTCCCACCCTAACCCCGGCACCTCCATATCCAAGGGCAAAGGGTAGAGCCACTGCGCATCCGGCCGCGAGGGTGCCGGGGGCACCACCGCGCTCTTGATGCGGATGCGCCGGGTGCCGGCCGGCGCCAAGGGGTCGTTCCGCGGCAAGGTGGTCACAGTGCCCACGTTCGGCACATATCCTCCGGCTTTCTGGAGGGAGCATGGGGTTCCAAAAAGCCTTCAGTGCGACCATGAACAGAATGGGCCAAACTTAACCATCTTATCAATGAGTGACAGAGGTGGGAACTGCAGACGTTGGCACCGGCTGTTATCCTATTTTAATTCGATCCATTATACAAGTTGTTTCTTAGTGCAATGGAGCATACAACCCAAGTTTTTCGTGGAATTTTTAACTCCGAAAACTACTGTCGGGTCCATGAGGAGGCCAGTTGCATGCTTCCAAATGGAACAGAATGTAGGGGTGGTACCCCAACCCCAACTCTCAGAGAAGTCGATTCGCATGCGCAATGCGTGGACAAAATTGAGGGCGTGGGGATTAATGCACAAAATGTTTCGCGCTCATCTGAGGTCATACAGGACGAGTTCTCTGCGTATGCGAAGGGACGAACATTAGGTCTGTGGCCATGGAAAAAACGATGTTGCTAACATCCCCACAACACTTAATGAGTCGCCTTCAGGAAGGCCAGTAGTAGAACCAATGGTATCACCTACTTGTCCCTGCGCCACGAGAGTTAAGCGTCGGAGTGATTGAATTACCGTGGCTGGCACACTCAGCCGCGGAAGTCACGGCGTAGTAAGAAAAACTGATGTTCCCCAGTGAAAACGCGACGCCAGGAGGGGGGGTCCCAGCATAGTCCTTGCAAAAACCAGCTTCCCGCATGAAAACGCAATGATTTGGCAATATTTTGATATGTTCTGAAACTCCTTCCCTAGCGCAATTGTCGCGTATTCACAACAAGCTTCTTGCATGGAAACACAATGTGGTCCCTTGACATCTCTGTGAACCAGGCTCCTTGGACACTTTACTCAAATCACACAAGTTGCAACGAGGTATCGGAATGGTGAACGAGAGAGGGTGAACGAGGTCAGAGCCCATGGCAGCAAGGAAAGCCCTCAGAATAAAAACCTCTAGTCTTACTAGTTGCTCTAGTTACCTCATCATGTATATGCGCACGTGTCTCCTTACTTGTTTCCCCACCTCTCCCCACCTGTTTGCCCGCGATCGGCATTTTGCTTGATCGGCGCTTTGTTTGCCGCTGCTGCCTTGTCTTCTCCCCAACCAACCGCGACATCGCCACGACTTCCATACACTCAAATCCCCATGGAACCGCTTCACAAATAGAAAGTCGCCACGACTTAACATTTGATTGTACTCGCAGGTGTATCACCATGCGGACAACGAGATACCTTGGGAGCCAGTTAAACGCTTTAGAGGTCAAGTGTCCAACCTCCTAGGGGGGATTTGTGTGTATGTGCTTCCTCGAGGATATGCTGCGGCACTGCGGACCGAACGCAGGGGCAGACCTCTGCTAATGCAGGCAGGCCATGTTTTGGCCCAGGCAGCCAACACTTGGTCTGACTGATACTAATTTTGAGCACATTCTTTCTACGTAACCGAGAATCGTTATTGGTCTACCATTGCTATAGTGGTTCAAGGGATTGCTATAGTGACAAAAGAAGTGCGCATGCCCGCCTTAGGTTGTCTGTAAGGCCATACCGCAATATGACGTCGATACAAATGAACGGCAGCTGTTGGAGTTCCTCGGCTCTCCAGCCATCAACCCCTTCGGCTCTACAAAGCTTCATGCGATGGAAAATGTTCGTTTTGGGTTGTGTATCGCGCAGGAGGTACTACGGACAGTAGATCATGCACTGTATCACTCCAAGGCAGAGGAGTTGTTTGCTCATCATCGTTCTCACGTTGCCAGAACTCTTTGGATTTTTGATCGATTTGATAGACTTGTCGGCTTTGTTTGAGTATTCCCTCTGCTGGAACTTGTCCCCGTACGGTTCGGAATGTTACCCGGCGCCCATCTTGCGATAGGGGGACATTATTGTAGCCTCTCCGAATGCATCGTGAAGTCTGATGGTGGCATTTGGGCCTCGAGCTCGAAGGAGTGACGCCTTGCTTTGAATATGGTGGGGAACATCACTAAGGAATTTCTGCCCATACTTTTTGATAAGCCTCTGTATGCATCTTTTTGATAAGCCTTTGAATATATGCGAATCATATTTTCCTGTCGGCAGAAAAAATCTCAGTCAAGTTTGGTCAAATCTCCATACACAGGAATCTGCTCTTGGTTAGGGAGAGTTGCTGGGAGAAAGGGGATACACTCATTGTTCCTGCGTCTTGAGGTCGAGGTACCATGCAGGATCACAGCCAGCACCAAAAGGGGAGAGCACGGAGCATCAACTAATCCAGGCGATTTTTGTGAACGGAAGCAAACTCAGCAGGGGTTTCACGAGTTACGAGAGATCGCGAGATGGACAAGGAAGAACGAGATAGGGACACAAGAGTGACAGAGCCACAGAATCCTCAAAGATGAGGCGCGCTTTGCACTGAGAACGTCAACGCCTTGCAACTTCCAAATCATTTCCCAGGGCAGGTTTGAACATGGCATACGGAGGCGTGCAGAGACTTACACTGCGCGAAATGAGTATGCACAGTCGGAGTGTGACTACAAAAAGCGAAGAAAAATAACAGCCTTGGGTTGTGAGGTCCTTCCGGTTCTGAGGATATCAGCCATTCTGTTTGCATCACAAACATCAACAAGTCTCGAACTAAACCCACAGTCACAAACCCAAAAGCCAAAGTGAAAATAGGATAGTAATGCTTGATCTCCTCAATATGCTGCTGAGCCAGCGTCTGGTTCAAACAGGCCTGCGCAATTTCATTTTCGGGCTTCGCAAAAAGTACTTCAAGCGAGACTGACACGCGCAAACGTTTTGTTTCCCACGCAACGGGGGGGGGCCGGTGCACTTGTATGATCTGGAAAGATGCGGAAAATTTGCGTTCTTTTCGTATGCATGCTGACTGTCGCTTGGCAAGACTGTTCAAAATCGTCGGCGCAAAGTCGAGATGATGTTGGGTGGCCACCACGCAATGCGTTACTGTATATACATCACGCAGTTCCATTCACGCATCGCTGGTTTTGTGACCTGAGCTGTTCCAGCTGAAGTTGATCTGAAGGAGCCGCCTGCCAACGTCCATGTACAGAGAACGGCCCGGCTCTTACAACAAAACCTTTGAGTATAGTATAGGTTAAAAGCGGAAACTTGACTTGCGGTAGGCCGCAGATGCGTCCTTTATGCGGCGGAAGGCGCGGCAGGGGCTGGCTTCCAACAATCCGTCCGGCTTTGTCAAAACCCACCATCGCCACAGTGTTCCCGTTCAAACTGTGGGCGACTCGGTTCCTGTCCTGACAGCTTAAAGCTCAGAATCAAATCAAAATTCAAAGGGGCATTCTGAGAAGGCTCGCATTAAGTGGAAGAGGCAACAGAAAGGTCAGGCCCGATCCAAATCCTTGTGGGTGAATTCTAGTGCTCTTGCGACCCTTGCGCCGGCCTTGTTGGGCAAGAAGCGGTTGGGTCCATAGGACCGCATCCCCTCACCACACAAAATATCTACAAATTATGTTGTAAAACACTTGGGGGACGTTTAAAGGTGTTGGGGTACTGAGCGACGGGCAAGTCCCGCAGAAGTCCACGTCGCGAGGCTTGGCGGTCTGCGCCCGAAGTTTGCTTCCACACTGCCTAACCGACATCGCGCCAATCGCAACACCCAAACGCGCGGGCCGCTTCACATTCTGAGGCCCAGGCGAGGACAGCGCCGTTTTCAATTTTGTGGTTAGTGTCAGTGAGCCACTTATACATGTATTTTGTTTCTTCCCAGCTGGCCTCTGGGGTCTTTGCGACGTGGCTTGTCTGCACCGGCAAGGCCTGTTGGCAGCAGGGCTTGAAGGACCGCGGAACCAAAACACCACTATGAAAAAAAGAAAGCGTTGGCCTGGAAGGTCCAAATGTTCCAAGGCCGTGCCTTCATGGAAGTGAAATTGCCCATACTTGCAACCGTCGAGCGAACATGGCGCGAGGGTCCCTGCCTGTTTGCCACCACGTCTTTGGAGTCTTTTGGTCCGCGGCTGGCGAATGTGTTCGCGTTTTTGCCGGGCCTCGGCAATAGATGGAAGCGATACATGAAACCGACAAAAGCAAAGAATTGCCGCTGGGCCTCCCAAAATATCCGGCGCGCGTGATCGGGGAGCACCTGCGCGCAAGCGCCGAATGGGGCGCGCGTGGGCCACATTGGTCGACTAAGAATATCTGAGCGCTCAGCTGATGTCCACAGCCCGCTCCCTCTTCATTGAATTTGGCACCTGCAGCCAACAACATGTAGTCACTGTAGGATCATGGCCGCGCCCTGTCTAAGGTCCAGACTGCTACCCCACTCTGCAGCCAATCCAACTCCTGAAAGCGTATTAGAGTCAGCTTGGACACAGCACCCTATAACTTGCAAAATCAAGAAATCAAGTCCTCCTCTGTGAGGTAGTAGTCGGGTGGCAGCTCTTAAGAAAGAAAAAGGTTCCAGCACGGTCCGGCACCGAAAGCAACATTTGGCATTTAGAATTCTGAGGTTTGAACTGTGGCGGGGACGTCCTGGCACAAGCATAGCCGGGAAGGGAAAGCGCTAAAGTTTCCAAGTGGTAGCAACCCCGACCTCCATGTCCATTTCCAAGGTTTGGGAGGACCATGCGTCGGTGGCGTTCCAACCCTGTAAAGGCGGCGGCAGCTTCGGAGGGCAAATATGCAAACAGACACAATTCACAACGATTCGACAAGTGAGGCCAAGACAGGGTTGTAGACCTTAGTGGCGCGACATTGCGACAGAGTCTAGGGGTAATTTACACAACACAAGACCGAGGTTTGAACTGCGGTGGGAAAATCCTTGCGGGGAAAGTTGATAAACAACACCACAAAGGCCCGCGCAGATTGACGTGCCTCGGCATCCATTTCCTCTGTTTGGGATGACCAAGCTCGGGATGTGTCCCAAACCTCAGCAGAGATGGGAGGCTCGAAGATTTGGGCGGACAACTGCCTCGATTTTCGATATCTTTGGAGTAGGTTGGAGGCCATCGCTAGTAGGTTGGAGGCCATCGTTAGTAGGTGGGAGCCCATCGCTAGTAGGTTGGAGGCCATCGTTAGTAGGTTGGAGGCCATCGTTAGTAGGTTGGAGGCCAAGCTGCTGGCACGGCATCGTCTCGCTCAAGCTGGCGAGAACCACAACACTCTGGCGCAACGTGCTGCCTGCCTGTCGGCCTCGATCCGGCTATTCAACTCGGCCGGACCGGTTAAGAACGTGAGCGCAGATTAAATCCCACAACTCGATTGTGCAGGCACTCTGCCTTGGGTAACCGAAAGTGAACTAAGGAGGCGAAAACCGGTACGTGATTCATTAAAGACGAGGTCTCAGTCGGGGGGTCATGTGACATAGTAGGGTCTTGGCGGACGGCTTTACTAGGCCGGACTGTTTTGTATTTAAGCTGTCGGCATCTGCCTCTACAATGGATTGGGAGAAATGATGTCGGGTACCGAATCGGATCTTGTCTATGCGTTGTGCGAATTGTGCGGTGAACTGCTTCTTCAACCTGATGACTAAGAGGATATCTGGATAACAGCATTTGGCTAGGATGGCATCGAAATGCTGTTCTTGACGGGTATGCCGGTATGCATAATGGCAGCGGGGCGAACCAACACACCCAGGCACTAAACAATTTGAGGACCTGCTTCGGATCCTTCGGTATGATTGACGCCGTCCTGGCGGCCACATGTGCGACAGAAAGGAATCCGAGTACCGAAAGGGAAGTCCTTGTACTGAAGCGACCCGACGGGAAAATCATCGTGTTTGCGAAATGGACAAAGGTGAGCAGTTGAGCCTCACCGCTCCATTGTGGCAAGAGGCTCAGGCTCAGTGGCTCACGGCTGTGTTTCCACAAAGAAATGCCGGACGCCGAATATGCTTGTACCGCAGGCCTCTTCGAATGACTGCAAGCCTGGGGTTTTCAAAGTCAAGAACAGATAGTGCTCCGTGATTGCCTCTTCCACGTAAAGGAAGTCTTTGGAAGAAAGCACGAGCCGCTCTGAGCTGAGTCTGGTGGTGACAATAGACCTGGCAGCTGCAAGGAAATTTTGATTCCGAAGGCCAGGCTCTGCTCGAGAACATCAGACAGGTATTCATAAGAATTGGACATAGCTTGCAACTCGCACGGGCGTCCTTCACTGAGGCGACGCAGGAGACTTTCCCTGGAAGGAATAGGTCTCCGAGACCCAGCAAACCAATCTCGAATCCACACCAATGTCACTAGACTGCGCCCTCGTTAAGTTGGCATGGTCAGTCCAGCACAGAGTGCGTATGGTCCCGAAAACCTTCCGAGCTGCCCTGGGCATAAGCCTCTTGGATGAGCGGTGGCCACCACTGTTGAGCAGGAGTAAGAGATCGGGAATGAGCTAACAGGATCTTCATCCTGCTCATGTCCCGACTCATTTGAAGCACTGCCCCGCCAACCTCAATGCCGGACGCGTCCGCAATTTGTTCCAGCGGGCACGATCCATCTGGCGCAGATGCTTCATCAAAGGTCGCCAAAGCAATATGATCACAAATCTTTTTTTTTTCATGGCCTTGAAAGCTTCAGTTTTTCCCGAGTCGATCCTGCCCTCTGGGAACTCCACGCCAGGTTTCTGGTAAGCTCCAAGAACCTTTGCCACATGTCCAAATTCCCGGCAAGTGCCCTCCAAGCCAGTTCCCGCAACCTAGGAACTGTTGAAGGTGAGCCTTCTCCTTGAGTGAGGAAAATCCACCACAGCTTAGGGGTGTCCATGAAGGCTTGAAGTTCGGAACGTTTGTACTCGTGAGAGCCTTGCCAACTGCGCGCCGTGGACACTGTAGCTCTCATCAATGTTCTTTCTTCAAGCCGCTTCCAAGCGTGCGTGAGTGCATCGAGCCCATCTATTGACATGCCTGCACGTCGAAAACCCTCTGCATGCTCCTGCGGAAATACAGATTCAAGTCCGATCATGTGAATGCCAGTCCAGTCACGGTCTGCAGTGCTCGAGATTCGTTCCCACTCTGCTTTCACTCGGAGGCCCTATCTTTTGCGGACTGTCTCTATGACAGTCAGAAGATATGCCAGAAATATCCAGAAATAATGCCGAAAACTATGTCAGAAGATATGCCAGAATCTGCCAGAAAGAATGTCAGAAGATATGCCAGATAGAATGTCAGAAGATATGCCAGAAAGCACGTCGGAAGAGATGCCAGAAAGAATGTCAGAAAGAAGGAGCCAGACTCATATGGAAGGGCCCAGACCCTCAAATCCCTATGGTTTTGAGGGACTGGGAGGTCGGCCTGTGAACTCACGGAGCGTTTCACGGCCACTCCGACGAGTCTTCTCTCGCCTCCATGCTCGGCCAGCTGCGGCCAGATCATTCCGAAGGCCTTCACTAGCAGAGGCGCACCCAAGCGACGCACCGTGGCATCGTAGATTTCGTGCAAAAAGGCCGTCTCCTGCTGCCAAGATCGAGCTTGCGCAAGAGCGCGCGCGGCGGTGAGCGTGCTTCCACCATGCGCTGGTCCTTGACTCTGTACCCAAAAGTAGATTACTGTATAACTGTTAACTCTGATGTCGCGTGGTGTGCTCCACCTTGAAGTCTGGCAGACTGCAGAAGTGGACCAAAACTAACCATTTCCAGAAATCGATCTTCCTCCCCACCGGACATCTCAGCCTGCTGAACCATCCCCAAGATCTCTTCCCAGCTCCTCGAAGCCTGGACGTTTGGAATAGGGGATGGCCCCTGCAGGCACCAGGACCTCGATCTGAGCGTTCTTCAGATCAGTGATAGGACCCACCTGGCGAAAAACAATGCGTGATTTGTTCGGCTCCGGCTCCGGTTTTGGCGATGGAAGAGGCACCAAAGGATGCCTCCATCTATACCCACAAATGGTTTTTGCCGAACAGTCACTCCGGATGTACACTACCTGGTCTTGGAAGGCTAGGGATGTGTGTGTATGTATGTGTATATATATATGGTACCCCCCCCAAAGATCTACCCTTTTTTAAGCAAGGACTCCTCACTCCTCTACATCCATGTCCTGACCTACCTTTTTTCATGAATTTTAATACATTGGTGTTAACTGTGCAGGGGGGAAGCATATATAATGTGCATAGTTTGGAGATAAGCACGTTAAAGAACTAGACAAACTAGTTGTCCTAAAAGAAACTAGCTGTTGTGGACCTGGATTCAAGAACAGGATGCCTAGCAACTTTTTTTTCTAGCAATCTTGAATCGTGAGTCCATATTTGTCGCTCTACTTTTTGTCTGTTTGTTTTCTTCTCATAGACTGCCAAAACGAAACCCAAAAACAAAAACCAAAAAGAACAAACTCTGAGGAGAATCTTTGGTTTCAGCCTGGAAGATGTTTTTTGGTGTTCATTGATGTTTTTTTAGTTTTGTTGGTTTCATTTATCAAAAAAAACATGTTTGTTTGTTTTGCGTTGGTCTATATATGCAGCATTGAATTACAAAACAAATAACAATGTCTTATTGTTTGGTGGGTTTTCCGATAGAAACTAAGCGAAAACCAAAACCTTGTGGTGTTTTTTGATAAATGAAACCAAAAAACTAAAAACAACTCAATGAACACAAAAAAAAATCTTCCAGGCTGAAACCAAAGATTCTCCTCAGAGTTTAGGTTTTTTGGTTTGGGGTTTTGGGTTTGGCAGTCTATGAGAAGAAAACAAACATACAAAAAGTAGAGCGACAAATAGGGAATCACGATTCAAGATTGCTAGAAAAACTGTTGCTAGGCATCCTGAATCTTGAATCCAGGTTCAAAAATAACTGTTGAGGCATCCTTTTCCAGCAATCCATAGTTAACAACACCTATCAACTTATTTTTGAATTTGTCTTCTTCTTCTTCTTGGTTATCAGATATGTTTGTGTTCACCAACTGATTCTGAATACCTCTGTAATTAATCTTGTGAGTTTTACTGGGTTCTTTGCATGCCAGTATCTTGGCTCGTCTCTTAAAATTGTCTCATATTGCCTGGTAGATCACATTATATGTTTTTTGAATAACATTACACCAGTTGCCAAAATAGAATTATCTGCATACAATAAAGTAAACTTAGTAAACGTATTTTAAGGTCAGCGTCTTAATTGAATAGTATCACTTTGGAATTGAGTTAAATGCCTCCTAGTTGAAGCTATACATTGCTAGGTTCATGTTGTTATAAGTGTCTTCATCCTCAACTGTAATGCAACCCTCAACTGAAGTTCTGTAGAACTGGCTTCTGTGTTTGGATTGCATATTTGACTTTGTTCAACTTTTGGTTCAGTTCAGTTATAACTTATGTTTGGTTTTGCAATGTTAAACTCAATATATAATACCTGATCCATTTCCTTAATGGATACCCCCTTTCAGTCAACTCATCTCTTTCTCACAAATATTTTCCTATCAAAAGCATATGTCTAGTTGTCCCACTCATAAGCGCAGTGTCATAAAGTTCATTATCTTTTTGGCGTGTTTCTATAATAGCGCCAGATATCTGCATCTGTCAAATTGTCATTCAATACATTCATTCCTTTACCGTTCTTCTTGATTTTCTCTACTGACTCTGATTTTGATACAGCTTAATTGTCATAACACATTGTCAAGTCCTTCAACTAAATCAAACGTTCTTTATCATCCCTAAGCAATTGAGGGTTTTGTCAAATAAAGCTGTGGTATGTCTTCTGCATTTTCCCTTTTTAAAGTTCTCTTGCGTATAAGATCCTTAGGAAAATCTGTCACATTTATATTTTGCAGGCCGACAGTGCAGTAATAAACTCCTTGATGTGTAAAGGTTGGTTTTTGTTTAGAACCAAGCTCTTTGAAGTGCTTGTAGATCTATCTATAATATTGACTTAGACATGCATGCGGGAGGCAAAAATGGTAGATCTTTGGAGGGGTAGCATATATATATATACACACATACATACATTATATGATATATATATATACCCCAGAGCTTTCAATGACTCATTTTACACCACCTGGGAATCAAAATCCACCACTGTATCAGGCCGGAGTAGAACGATTAGAATGGTAAGAAACACCCTAGGCCTCCCACCACCATTGATTTACAGTAAGTCTTGGGATGCTAGGGTTACAGTAACGTTCCATCATGTTCCAAACCGCTCAAACCCGCGCCGGCCGCATCCGAGCTGGCATCTCTGTTTGAACCTGCCGGTCGCGGCTGCGCCTTGTACTCCACCACTGAGGAGTTGGTGGCGACCGTCTGAGTTAGTTGGCAGCGGAGTTGGGGGCTCATCCCCCCAAACCCTCATGGATCAGATGGAGGGATCAAATGGGTTTGTGGGTCAAAACCCACAACCCAAAACGTGCTGTTTAGAGGCCAACTTCCCAGTCCCTCAAAACTAACTTGAGACCCCAGACCTCTCCAGAGGATTCGGGTGGGATCCCTATGTGACGATTATGAGGGTTCACGAGGAGGTTCCAAATCCAGAATCAGAGCTTCCTGTCGGGGTGTGTAGGGGTTTCCAGCGACTCTGAAAGGCGCTGGCAAATCATGTGTAGCCCAGATCCCAGTTACGTTGCCTGGAATCCTCAGCGTAGGCCATTAATATGAGTACGTATGTATCAAAATAGGGAGACCTCCCAAAGACCCCCGGAAGAAGGGAAATAGATCCAAACCCATTCATGCGCCATTTTGTTCGCTCCTCCCGAAAGCCTCTACTCGCCCGGCCAAGGCGCTACCCGGGCGTAGCGAGCGGGTTTAGGACCTTTGCCATCCAAATAGGCCACCGTCTCAGCCTGGCGCGAAAGAAGAACGACGGGCCGGCGGACATCCAGTTGCCAGCTGCTTCTGTCAGTGGAATCCTATACCTGGATCCTCCAAGATGGGTGCTTCCACTGGCGCATCCTTCCCCCCAAAACATCTTTTGCGCGAAGTGAACCCCACTGGTTCACGGAATTGACCTGCGAGTCTCAGAAGCTGACAAGGGAAGCTATGAAAGCCAGTGTGCCCGCAGATCTGGGATGGTCTTATTGAATTGGTGCTTGGATAGCTTTGCAGTGACACGTCGGCTTCAACGATAGCGGCGAACCCACGGGCCCCAGGAGCAGATTCTGCATGGTCTGCGTCTCCACAGTTGATCCTAACGTATGGTGCACCACTGGGATTGCGTTTAGATGCTCTCTGTGCATAGTACTCCTAAATAGCATATCGCTGGGACTTTAGCATAAGCACCTTGCAGTAAATCATTGTTATATATGATTCAAAACATACATGGTCCTGTCTGTGCCAGCGCAGTTAGATTGATATGCTTTACCACGCATGTGCGTGGAGCATGCCATTCCGCATTCGGCACACCATGCTCCTGTGGCACGACTTCACCACTGCACGCGGCGGCACCAGAAGGGTCAAGGACTCAGTAGGGTGAAATGTTCCCCCCCGAACCGCATACCTGGACCTATGCAACGATGGGCGTGGGGCCAAATCTGGAGCACCAGTCCACCGTTTGTAGCGAGTTTGACCGACACCCACTACTCCCAGGCACCCATCACCAGATGAAGGGCCTTTGGGAAGCGTTTGGATATTGCGCAAGTATCGTCGGTAGGTCCTGCCCGGTATCCTGCCATGACCCCACAGCCGTACCTGGATCTTCCAAGTTCTTCGGTACATGCAAAAATGTCTGCCTCCACTGGCTGGTGTTACAAACAGGCGGACACTTTGCAGTTGGACATCTCCTTCCAGGACCTTCCAAGTCCGGTGGTCTTTGGACACCCCGTCCTCACCTCAGGCTATTCGGCTATTCAAAGACACCTCAAACGGGTCCTGGTTCCTCACGTCCTCTCAGTCCGCTCACGGAACTTCAACGCCTTAGGCGGCCGAAGGAGCTCCACCGAAGAGGGCCCTGTCAGCCACTGGTCGATGGAGGGGTCGGCGCGGCAGGGCTGCGTGCCGGTGCGCTGCATGAACCAGCCGGCCACGGCCTGGAGTGATTTGGTGGTGAGGGCTTCGGCCAACTCAGGTCCAGGTGTAAACGCACAGTTTTCTCAGTGGGGACTCTGGGTAGAAAAGCGGTCTGGAGTCGAGGAATGTCTTGAAGACTTTGATGGTGCCAAATAGAGTCGAACTGGACTTCCAGAGTACTGATTTGGGGTGTGGAGGTTGTGTCCGTCGCTGGCATGAAAAAGAGCAAGTGGAACTTTGGTTTGATACACATGCAACCAACTGACTACATCTGACAATAGGCATGCACATGGGATCTCTGGATTTGCCTGGCCTTCAGCAGAGTCCTGCCAAGGTGCGTTGAAGAAATTGCAACACCTATCTTCGTCAGGTCTCCCTATTTTGATACACACCCATATCCATGCAACACCTGAGAAAAGGAGCAGATTCACACTCAAGGGCTTATAGGATCTCTTCGTTGACATGGCCAGTTCATTGATGTCGCGCTCTCTCTCTCTCTTTCTCTCTTTCTCTCGCCGGCAAATAAAAACATCAAGTGCTAGCTAGTTTCTAGTAGTAAGGCCAGGAGCCCCGAACGCAGCGTCCGATCGCTCCCAGTAGAGGGAAAAAAACGGGAAGAACAACGAACATCAAGTGCCAGAATCCGACCATGTCTCACCCACCAGCAGTTCCATTTGTGTCGTTTTCTGTGGCGCCCAGCATATGACAAAACGGCCCCGCAACACGGATGGTGTTCAAGAGACCCCCCAAAAATGACCACTCAAAGACCACTGAAAGAATGATTGAGCGAGTTCTTGTAGTGAAAAAATCCTTTAAAATGAAGGATTCACCCAGACGCTGCGTGTTTTCACCGCCCTTTCCCCGCCCCTCAAAACCATATAGGGATTGCTAAAAAACCCAGACCCCACCCAAGGAGAACCGGGATTCGGGTCCTCACTTCGCGTCTGGGCACCAAATCAATCCCAAACAAACACTCCATGTATACAAACATGGCCTACACTTGGCCTACATTCCATGCCAAGAACCACCAGTCATTTTCAGCCTGCCATGTGCATGGAGCATTTGGGGCTGGTGTTCTTTTGCCTCCCAGACCTCCTCGTTTCGCCCACGGCCTCCACTTCGGAGGCGGAAAGTTCGCCCAGGACCTCAACATGGGAGGTGGTGTTCTCCCCGCGGAGGAGCGTTGGACGTCCCGAGAGTGGCACCCGTGGTGATTGGAACAGACATCTTCAGGGGGGTTGGGGGGTTGACATAAAGAGAAATAAACCACCCTAGGCCCTAGATGAGCCCTGCCGTGGTGCTGGTTTAAAGAGTGCGGTGGAGCTGGGTGTTGTTTGGTTGACCTTCAAGGACGATGTAAGTGGTGTCCTGGCTCAAAATACCCATAGGCTTCCAGTCAGATGACCCTGAAAGGAAGGTGGTAGAAAGGTTCATGGTCCAACCATGAGTTGTTTGGTCCAAAGACCTATGCCCAGCAAACCCCCGGGCAGGTCAGGGAAAGGATCCCAGGCTGCCACTAGTGGGACGACCCGTGCTATGATGTTCGGTTTTTGCGTGGCAAACGCCACGCCTGGATTCGCCGATGGATCGTCCGGTCGACGGGGATCAGGGCGAATGAAAAATGGGTTGAATTGGTGGAATCTAGAAGAACCCACAAGGGGTGGTTAATGGACACCCCTTAACCTCTAAGGGGCTATCAATAGACACCCCTTAGGGTGTCCTGGTAGAAGAACCAGTGTTTCACTACCGAAGGCACTGGAGATGAACAATCAGTCCAAAGACTATGGCACCACTCGAATAAAAGTTTAGGACTCGAGACTCGGTGCAAGACTGTCGTTAATCATTGTGTTTAACTCTTGGAAAAACAGACCTTCGCTTTTTTTCAGTTGGCCCAGAGGCGACCCTGGACCCAAAACCAACTGCTATACATTTGTCCATTTCGCCCTATAGTTGTAAGGGTCAAAACCCGGACCGCGATTCCCGGGGTTGGCGGGTCCAGACAAGAAAATCAAGAAACATCACCCAATCAGCACCAGGTCCAATCAGCCTTCTAAGACCTATTAAGAGTGTCCGCGTCCAAATCCAGACTCTGATGGTCTCATGAGACAAAATACAAACTGAAGATGTATCCTTTGCTGTGCTTTAAGCTATATGTTCAAAGAGTACTGACTCCAACCGCCCACCGCCGGTGCGTCTTCTTTCTGAAACAGCCAACCGTTCAGCTGCCTCGCTGGCTCTGGAAGGGAAGAAGCGCACGGCGACCGCTTCACCATAAGAGCTCCTTAGGGTGTTTTCACACCGAGTGGACCCGGATTTCCTCTCCGGGTCGTTGGAGGGGTCGGAGGGGGTTTCTGATACCAATCCTAGGAAGCGGCTACCCTAGAAGCGAAAAAGACCAAAAGTTGGCCCCACTGAAGTAAAGGAAGTTCGGGGTCACCTAAGGACCAATTCTTTGATCGTCTTTGACTCCGGCGTCCCGGCTGTTCAGGGCCGGGCCGCAACCGCGAGGATTAAGTGATCTCAAAGGGTCACTGTGAAGAACCAGGGAGGTGAAAGAACCATATCTAGGATGTATTCACTACTGGGAAGGAGTTGCTGAGTCCCTATAGAAGTCCCAATAGACGATTTTTGAGGCCACCAAAGAGGGTGCGCCATAGCTCCGGTTCCTACTATCCCTACGTTTTGAGGGACCGGGACTCTGGCCTGTTTTCATCCAGCCTTTGGGCTAGTAAAACATCTGGTTCTTCGGCAAAACCCCTTCACCCCTTCAATCCATGTCGGTCTGGGGCAGCACCTTCAGCGGCTCCGCACCGCGCCCTTGGAGGTCACCTCGCACCGAAGCACCTCGTCCCGCTTCGTGGCCGGGCTTCTTGATCATCCTCGAGGTGGGAGACCTCGCGGGAGGTCGAAAACGCTGTTGCGAGCGGAGGAACCCACGTTGGGGTGCGAAGATCCACACGGGATTTCCTGGGAGTTGAGGAAAAAACAACTGGTTCTAAAGGGTCTGACTACCACCATCCGTTTGAGGTGTCTGTAAAATTCTAAAAATAGCCTCTTACAGGTGATTCGGGGTGTCCAAAACCACCTGTTGGAAGGTTGTGGTAGGTGATCCAATTTCAGGAATCTCCTGAACACTTCGGTGTTGTTCCAAATGGTCGGTTCCTGTTGCCCAGGACTCACAACCAACTTGATTTCAAGGTCCACGGAAAGGGTGGTGATTGGAAGGAGATACCAGCCCCCTCCAGGTCTCTTCGGGTGACTTTTAACAGACTAAAAAAGGTCCCAGGGTGACCTGGCAGGGTCACCTGGTGACCTGGCCTCCCTTTCGGCTCTTGGCCCCACTCGCGGTCCGAGTTCGACCTCGGGGTCGTCTGGGTATCCAAGATGTTCCAAGGGCAGTTCGCCATCCCCTTCAAAAGTCCAACAAGCAGTGGGTTTTAATGGGTGTTTGATGTGTTTTTGCAAAAGAATGTGTGTTTTACTAAAGAATTTGGACGGAAGGTGAACCTTTGAAGGGTCGAGGGTCCGAAGGCGACCTTCCATGATCTCCCATGTCCGTCAGGTATCATGCCTGGCCAGCACTCCCTCTCTAACGTCTCGAATGGGTGATCAGTAAAGTCACAGGTTCTGGTTGTGTCCAGTTTTCTGGTGGAGTGAAGACTTTTCAGTTTGGAGTGTCAGACTCTCCGCAAGTGACTGGGCACAAAGCATGTGGTTGGTTACTGGGTACACGACATCGATTGGGCACCAACCCGCCTCACAGGCAAGTCGTTCGTTCCACCGACCAGGCATTCTGTACCTCCTAACAGTCTCAGCCATTCTTGAAAACAGAAAACAGCTCAAACGCTCCATTCATAGGCCGACCGGTCCCTCCAAGTCTAGGGATTGGGTTCGACCCCCCCTCCAGAGGATTCAGGTCTGGCCCTTCCGGTTTGTGTCGCGCCGGATAGGTCTTCATACCAAAGGCTCGGCCCTTCTGCCAAGGAGCCAGATCTCCTGAACCTTCAGCGTCACCACAGATCCCAGGGCGGCTGCACACAGCATCAGCGCACCCACCGCACAGGGGCCCCAAGCGCCGCTGTGCCCTACGGCGATCGTGCGGCCATACACGGGGCTTTCCGCATCAGCCTCGGAAGGTGGGCAGTCAGGTCACGGATCAAATCTCTGGAACATTGGTCCACGCGGTCCACGCGCGGTCCACGCGAAGCCCCTTGAAACAGGAAGGTCGACCTCACGAAGAGGCTTCGATGCGGACACTCGAGGGTGCCTCACTCGACCTTCACCTGGTGTGATCTCTTCGAAAGAGAGCGGTTGCTTCATCGCCAAAGATTGTTGTGGATGGTCAACACCTGGTGTTTGGATGTGTGACAGGTGGGTTTTCACAGGGGGCAGTGCTTGAGGACCGGTGCACACCCTCGTGGTTCATCTCCGCGCCACCATCGGCCGCTCTTCATCACGGCTCGCCATGGCCAGCTGCAGGCGACGTCGCTGGGGGTCAAAACAGCTGCAGGTCGGTGGGTGGTCTCGCCCCATGTCTCCCCTCCAATAGGTCCGGACCCCGGGCCCCCACAGATTCTGAAATGGTGCTTTTGGCCCTGCGAAATATCTGTTCTCTGCCGTTGGTTTGATGCCCAGGCCCCCCATGAAAGCCCATGTGGCGGCTCAAACATGGAAAAGGAGTGATCAGGAAAGGTGCCCCCACCTACCTACCACCAAAAGCTGGAGGGCTACGCGCTCTACGCCGCCGGGCCCCAAAGGCTGGAGCCCCAGCAGGACCCCCTCCCCGCCCAAACAAGTGGGATCAAACAACGACCGTAGTACGGTCCACCTGATTGGGACGGGACTAGCAACTTCAAGACCTATCTTCAACACAGCTCTTTGGGTTCCCTAGGGATCCAAGTACTTTGTCAGAAGGTCATTGGAGACAGTGTTAGGTGCCAAAACGTCCAGTCGTATCTTCGGTTCGGTACGAAGTCCTGGAACCATGGTGGCGGCCCACTGG